TCTGAGCCAGCTATCATAAATTAAGCACCACAACAAATAAGTTACAGTTTTTAAAAGGATCTCATATGAGAGAAAACACTGTGTATATCTTAGGCTTTGAGTCAGTGTTGAAGTACATCACACACATCATGCAAACACTGTTATAAAATTGTTTTATATCTATGTTTATGTGAGTGCCAGTGAGGTCAGTCTAATCCGTTCTTTTCTCCTGTAGGAGGACAACAAATTCCAGGATTTTTTTGGACAAAGGCAAAGTAAAAGGCACAATGCCTTAGGAGCGACTGGCAGTATAAAATCCTGCCGTGGGGCCCTATACTCTGGGCCCTGTACCTCCAGCAGCAGACAGAGTGTATAATTTTGAGGTCTGTGTTTGCATGAATGACTGAGCAACTGAGGACAGAGCTCTTTGTTAGCGAGCCTGCATCATGACCTCAGTTGAGAAGCGCCGCTCAGGCCGAAAGAGTGGTGGACATCGAAAGCACAGCGATGGAGGCTACAGCGACACCTCCAGTGGTGGGTCCTTTCTGGATGAGACTGACCGTGAGGTCAGCAATCTGACAGATCGAGCATTCAGGAGTCTCTGCATTGGAGATGAGGCTGTTTATAATGACTCAGACCTCTGTTCGTCTTCACCCTGCACCCAGAGAGACAGACAGCTGGCCTTTAGTCAGAGTGGCCAGGACGGAGACAGAGAGGACAGAGAGAGGGAGGAACTCAAGAGAGCTGCACATGAGAGCTTCAGCCTCAGAGTGCAGCAGTATGGACAGGACTGGATCCATGGAGGGATGTATGGGGCTGAGATCCACAGAGAGCCACAGTGGGAGGTTTATGGGGAAAGGACACAAGGGAGGGTTTCTGCCACATTCCAGCACTCCTTTGTGGAAACCTCTCAACAGCAGGAATCTCTGAGGGAAGAGCAGCTGTCCTTCCTCAGCAATGGAGCCACAGAGTTGAATTCACAGCAACGCAGAAGCCGATCCAGAGTTTCTTCTCTCATCAGAGCTTTTAATTCTGAGGGACAGAGGGATGGAGCAGGGATGGATGGTCAACTCAGAGACTGGAATGATGAGACAAGCTGGGACAAATCAGCTCTGATGAGTATCCAAAGGGAACTTTCGGAATTCTCTACATCATACCAGCAAAACTTTAACAGTGGTAATTTCCCTTCAGCTGGCCCGTTCTCATCCCGAGACACCAACTTCTACTCCTCTGACGTAGCAGCAGTGGCTCAAATGAATTCGGCATCGTCTTTTATGAGATCTTCGCACAGTAAACACAGCATATCTGCACAGGTCAACTGTAACTCTAACTTCTTTATACACAGTGAGTTTAGTCCTTTCAAGGTATGGAGGGACCATAACAGGTTTCCCTTCCAACAAGGAGAAGTCTCAGGGTTTATGCACTGCTCAGAATTTCCTAAATGGTATGAGACACCAATGTACAAGGAGCTTTCAATGGAGGCCCAACCACAGGGTCCTTATAGGTTTGAGGAGAGGGGTATCAGACACCCAAGGAATAACTTGGCGCCTATGGTTCCTCCCACTCCATCACGCTCCACCTCAACATCCACAATGCTGCAGAGATCTTTGGCCGTAGAGAAACGGAGCGAGTCAGAGTTGGCAGGTCATTTCCCCCACAGGAAACGGACGCAGAGCCTGGGAACTAACAGGCTCCCATCCCAACGCCCATCAACTGCATCACCTACCATTGAGATGTCCCGACGTGTCCAGGACACCATCAGCTCTGTCAAAGCCCTCCAGCAAAAAATTAAAATGATGACAGAGCAAAATATCACAACAGGAATGATAGCGAATCAAGAAGCAGTACTTTATAGCAATGATAATTTAATTCCCTTTGGCAACAATACTGTGACACCAAATGCTGTCAGCAGTAACACAAGCACAACTCCTTTCAATATCAGCCAGCTGCTCACACCTTTAGTCCATGCAAATCAAGAAGTAGAGACATCAGAGGTCCCGCAGTATGCAGTTTCCCCTCAACCTGTCGAACATCCTCCTGTGCGAGCAGAAAGCAGGGGAGCCACTCCTGATGTTAGGTCCAGCTACAAATCCAGAGCCACAAGCTTACTCTTCAATCTCAAAGACAACAGGAAAAGAGTAAAAAGCACGTATAGTCCCACCAAATTCAAAGGCTTGGAGACACTGGAGAAAAACAAACAGCCCTCTGTCCAGGAGCCTAGAGACACAGTGATAGACATCCCTGATTTCCCAGATGCCGACATTCAATTTCCCCAGGTAGAAGAATCCATCAGGACAAATTCTGCCTCACAACAATATGTAAACCAGTATCATAACCCTGGATTACCACTTACAACACTAAATTCTCAACCTGCAACAACACATGCAGGCCAATATTCAGAATACACCTCAAGTAATTACCAGACAGCTCAGATGCAAAGTGAGATGGTTCATCACTCTGGGTTCACTGACTTCATACCTGGAAATTACGCTAGTAATCAGCTGGCTAATGGACAGAATCTCCATGAAGACTTATTGTCATTTACTCCCTATAAGCAAGGCATGATAGATAATGTAGAAACTCTGGGAGGAGATGTATACAGGCTTAAACCACCTTATTCAACTACAGAAGCTCCGAGGCTAAATGCTGACAACAATCAAACCAGAGAATATTTAATAAGCAAGGCAAATACTGAGCAACATTTTAATGAAACAGTGGGAAGGGAATTCACAAAGGTGGATAGATATCAGCAGTTGAAAGAAAACAAACATGATTACAGTAATGTGTCCTCACAGGATAGGTGGAGACAGACAAACAGCCAAGACACAGAAAATCTCAGACTGAAAACAGCTATCTCTCCATGGAAACAAGAGATAAATGCTTCAATGGAAAAAGAACAACTTGCACAGGCTTACCAAAGAGCAGCTGCAATAAAGGAAGAACTAAATTTACCAAGAGACAAATACAGAGGAGAAAATCAGCAAAGTATGAATAAAGAACATGAGAGAACAGAGTTGAGAGAGAGTTTTGGTGTTGAAACATCTCACAAAAAGACTGGATTGGTTAATCCTATCATTTCAAACCAACTGCCACAATATGCTCCATTTAGTAATGACACTGTAGAAAATCCAGCATATTATGGACAACAGCAACCTGGAACATTAGAGGACAAATACGCACTTCGAAAGTATTACGGACTCAAGGAAAATGAAATGAAAGATAATTATTTGACACAGAATTATAACAGACATACTGCTCAAGAATACAGAAACCAACCCACCCTTTATTCTGATAAAGATACACCTATGCTCACGCAAGAAACAGCTCGGAGAAAAACTATTGCCAAAGGGAACGAAATGCGAAGTATGCAACCAACAGAAACTAAACCACAGTTTGAACATAATATGCAGAAAAATTCATTATCTAACCCTGACAATGCATCTGCCCCAACAATGGCAAACCCGCCAGAACACAGACAGTTTGTTGAGGTCAAGGCCGAACAGGCCATGACAGACCATATAAAAGCACAACACGCCCAAGCAGAGCTGGCAAAGTCTCAGAACTGGGCTCAAGTGGATCAGCCCAAACTGGAGTCTGCTAGGTTAATTTTAGCAGGGCAGACTGGTTCAGAGAAAGTCAAAGCAGAGCTAACAGAGCAGGAGAGAGTAAACCAGGCTAAAGCAGAGCATATTAAAGATAAGAAGAGAAAAGAAGAACAGACACAACAGTCGATAGAAAAACAGCCAGAGCAGGCCAGAGAGGAAAAGATAAAGGGAGAGCAAACCAGAGTACAGAAGGTAACACAGGAGCCAAAAAATATTACAGAAGAAGTAGGATCTGAGCACATGAGAGAGGAGCAGGGTGAACAGGTCAAAGCAGAACAAGCTGAAGCAGAGAGGCTAAAAGAAGAACACATAAAAACTGAGCTGGCCAAGAGCAAGCAGGCTGAGGAGGCAAGAATAAAGCAGGCTAACACCAAAGAAAGGATCAAAGCAGAGCAACGTGAGGAAGATAGAGTAAGAGCAGAACAAGTTGAAAGAGAGCAGATGGAGGCAGAACAAATCAGAACAGAAAAGGTTAAAGCAGAACAGGCTGAAGCAGAGCGAAAAGCAGAACAAGCTAAACTACAGCAGATAAAAGAGCAA